TTGTTTATGATATCGAGAATAATTCTTCCAAGTTTCATGATCCTTCTAAGTTCAAGTTCAAGAATAATCTATTATATTTTGAAGGACGCCTATATGTTTCAGAAGGAGAAGCACATTTACGTGTTCTTCAAGCACATCATGACTTTCCAGCAGCAGGGCACTTTGGATATAATAAGACTTTGGAACTCATATCAAGAGATTTTTGGTGGCCACAAATGTGGAAGTCAGTCAAAGACTTTGTACAATCATGTGATATTTGTTCAAGATCAAAAATTCCTCGTCATCGACCTTACGGACTTCTTCAGCCATTACCTATACCAGAACAACCATGGTCTTCTGTTTCTATGGATTTCATCACAGATCTTCCAAGCTCAAGATCTTATGATTCTATATTTGTGATAGTAGATCGTTTCACCAAGATGGCACATTTTGTGCCATGTACAAAATCTATCACATGTGAAGAAACAGCTAAGCTTTTCATTGATAATATCTATCGCTATCATGGATTACCTAAAGATATCATATCAAATAGGGGAACTCAATTTGTGTCAAGATTTTGGAGGACCCTTTTCAAGATTTTAAAAGTGGACATAAAGCTATCTTCGGCTTTCTATCCTCAAACTGATGGACAAACAGAGCGCGTAAACCAAGTCTTGGAGCAATATTTAAGGTGTACTATCAACTACCAACAAGATGATTGGACAACCCTTCTGCCATTGGCATAGTTTGCTTATAATAATATGGTACATTCTTCCACGCAACAAACACCTTTCTTTGTCAATTATGGCTATCATCCACGACTTGATACTTTTGATTTTTCAAAAGTTGATAATCCTGCAGCAGAAGATATGGCAAATCGATTATCAGAGTTACATGCAATAATGAAGACGTAATTGAAGGAAGCTCAAGAACGATAAAAGGTAAACGCAGATCTATATCGTAAGGAGCAACCACAACTCAACGTGGGTGATAAGGTATGGCTACTTCGTCGCAATATCAAGACTACTCGACCTTATGACAAGTTGGACTATCGTAGGCTTGGCCCCTTTTCTGTTTCTGAACAGATCAACCCAGTTGCATATCGGTTACATCTACCGGAGTCAATGAAGATCCATCCTGTATTCCACGTGTCTCTTCTTGAACCATATAAGACAGTGGATATACAAGGAAGAAGACAAATGCCACCGCCTCCTATAGAAGTAGATAATAATGAAGAATTTGAGGTGGAAGAGATATTAGACTCAAGGCGGCGCCGAAATAAGCTGGAATATTTTGTTCATTGGCGCGGATATGATATTAGTGAACGCACATGGGAGCCATCCAGGAATCTAGGAAATGCATCAGCTAAAGTCGAAGTTTTTCATCAACGACATCCATCAAAACCAAGATGAAAATCTCTCGTATAAAAGAGACAAGATTGAGGCAAGATAACATTCAATTTCCTATCTTTGTTTGTAACTTCTTTGCATTTGTGATGCTAATTAGATGGAGAGCCAACAACCAGTGGATTCAACTCAAGAACCTTTGTTTGCTGACCTGCCGGACGAGACATTACGATTGTCACAACCTTCAAGACGACGCAATCGAGATGAAGATCTTCAAGAACGACATGTTCTTCCTCGAATAGATGGTGAGATACAACGCGTTTGGTATCACGATTTGGGAAGGGAGTCTCGATGTTTGGTGATTTTGCTAGAGGTAGGAACAACTCGTGATGGTGTTCCGAATATTCTATTCGAAGGAAGTTACGAAGGCCTCAACAATGATCAAATAACTGGGTGGTCTTCCCGCCCTGGTATGGGACACTACCGATGGTTGAGAGGCCCTATCAATCATCTTCAAAGAGAATAGAGATCAGAGTATGTGGCGAATACAATTCGTCGCATCATAGATTTCCTCAACATATGATGACCGCTCCTCGTGGAACTCATCTCTAGAAAGGGGGGTAATGTCACGGCCATAATCATGTAAGCTAATAATTACATATAGAAATAAATAGAAGTAAGTAAAAGTAGGTAAAAGTAAGTTAATTCTATAATATTTAATATAGAAGCTTCCTAGAAACTTCCTAGACGCTGCTTTGACTTCATAGGTGTCTTTAATTGAATTTTTGGATTAGAAACGTGGTCAAAAAGTTGGCCATGTGCCACACATGTTGTTAGCTTGAAGATCAAGCTAACTATGTGGCCCACACGTAGAAAAACTTGCCTTGTAAGTCAAGGCATGTGTCCTACAAAGTCAACACATATTGGAGGTCCTATAGAACGTCGCCACGTAGCCCCTAGTTAGATAGTATATATAGAGACAAGAGTGAAGGCTTCTTCACTCTTGTCAACTCCTTTCTTGCTTCTAGTCTAGTTTCAAGGGTCTCTAGTTTTCTTGTCTTTTGGCAATAGCCATTCTAATTTCTCTTTTCAATATACATACTTATTATTCATATTTTTTTACTTTTCTTTGAGTGAAGGCTTACTTGTCTGAACTATTTTTTCATCGAGTTCTTGTCTTTGACACCTTCTTATCTTTTATCCATATTTTTCTACTTTTTATTTTAACTTGGCTCTTCTATAATAAGATCCATATTATCATCTTTCACCATATAGTCATGTTACAACACGACAACATGTTATGCAAAGTCAACATATTTTTGAAAGTCCTATAGAATGTTGTCACATAGATCCTAGGTAGATAGTATATATAGAAGTAAGAGTGAAGTCTTCTTCACTCTTATCAATTCCTTTCTTGTTTTTAGTCTAGATTCAAGAATTTCTAGTTTTTTTTTTTTTTTTTTTTTAGCAATAGCCATTCTAATTTCCTTTCAATATACATAATTCTTTGTTTCTATTTTGTTATTTTTCTTTTGACATGGATTTCACAAGTTTATCCATCTTTCACTTCATATCCTTGACACCATCTCCATCTTAATTCTTTATTCCATATTCCTATTTTCTTTGTTTGTTCTATATCTTGTGTTTCAAATCTTCTCTCTTATTATTGTTTTTTGTCTCAAATCCCCTCTTCCATTTTCATTTTCTTTTCTTATCTTAAATTCCTCCAAATTCCTATTTTGTCTCTCATTTCTTGTCTTCTAGTGTTCTTCACATGCAATTAATATAAACTAGCATATTTTGTCTTCATTTCTTTCAAGTCCTCTATATCATAATATATTGATTATTTCTATTTTTATATTTTGACTTAAGATGTTATGACTTCTCAATCTACACTAAAAATACGTCCTACATTTCTTCCAAATTTATTAAAAATTTTACTAGAGCTTGTAATAGATATTGATCAAAGTAGCAATTATAATTATAGTTAATCAAGAAAAGCTTGAATAACCTTGGAAAACACTTCTCTCCACCCTACATTCCAAAAAAATAAAAGAATGGCTTCACAATACCAAGGCCATTGTTCCTTGCTAAAAATGATTACTAGTTCTTAGAACTTGTTGCAACATTATGCTTATTGGTATAAGACCAACTTTCTTTTTCATTTGCCTACCATCAAAAATTGAAAGTGAAACTTATACTCTTTGACAACTAATTCACCATATTATATTTGGTAATCTTTTGCGGGACCTCTTCACAGGGTCACATTGCTAAGAAACTAATTCCTATTCTTTATTGATCTAGGTAACATACACTAGAAGTATCTAGATAATCCTAATAGTATTTAAATATCTCCTTTTCGAACATCAATACTTGGCTCAAAGAAATTAACAAGCAGTTGGCACAAATTATGAAAGAAGAAAATGAGGACTATCGATAAGAAACAAGGGAAGAGAATCAAAACAATGAACTATAAGCAAGGAACTAGAAACATGGAATGGAGATGGAGGATAGACAAAATCAATCATGAGATGGAAAGAGCGAAAAAGATGTGTGTGGCTTTAATAATATTTGATGTGGCTTTAATAACTCTTTATAAAAATAATAAAAATATTATTTCTTTAGTAGGTACTTATATCTAAAAGCCCACTTTAAAAAGCCATAATCTAAAAGTTTTGCAAAGGTTTTTCTTTAACTGAAGAAAATTTATTATTTGAAAGTCTAAATTTTGTAGATATCCTTGATATAGACCAAATAATTTTTTTAAATATAAGTTTAAACATACTAACTTATAATTTGATCTTAAAAATTATTTATGTATATCTATATATACATATTTATTTATAATAATATAAAATCAATAAATATTTTTAGTAATTATAACACACTTTTTTAAACTATCATAAAACTTATGTGTGAAGGTGGATCTAATACAAATTCAAAAGAGCAATATTATTCTTGATATGTAAATTTTTTAAAAAATAAATAAATAAGAAAACAAGCATTCAATTTCATCTTTTCTGCACATGACTTCTTAAACTCATTTTCAAACTATAAAATCGGTGATGAAAAGATTTTTGATTTTGATATATATAAACATGTGTAGATTGTGGACTTTGGCTCTATGTTTGTTTGGAATGCAAACAAGTGGGAACCATATTATCACAAGCTAAACATTGGGAATACAACAGGAGGTTAGTTGTCCACATTCAGTGCTCCAACTCACCCTTGGAGGCCTCTGTTCAAAACTCCTACACACTTTGCAACACTGTTTTTCAAATGGGCAACCTATATGTATATTTTTTACCCCAAGAGGGGATTCTCATCCTCAAAATATCACGCCATTTAAACCTCAAACACTATTAACAACACATCCACGAATCCAGAATAGAATTTTCTTAGAACTCATTTGCCTTTGCACTCTACGTAGGCTAACTCACCAAATGGGTGGGGGGGAAGCGTCGATACCCGTGGATTCATACCCGGATAAGATAGAGGACACCCGCTTAGAGATACCGTGGTCGAAGACAAACAGGGTATATATCACCAGCCGACGGGTATAATCCATCGCCGCACCACCTTTATAACGTTCTTCACGTGGGCAGGGTGATGCTGAAATTGGAAGGGGACCTGCACCGAGGCCCGACCCACCGATTTTGATTAGAAAGGTGTGTTTTTTTTGGGTGTTTGATTGTTGTGAGAAGGAGCTTGGGTTACGATGGTTTTAGCTTGTGAACTTGATGGCGTGTTTTGGTGAGTCGGAGAATGGTTTCATAGGGTCTACTTTTAGTAGAGTACGATTCTATTCAGGATTGTATTGATGGGTGAGGGCGAAGGGCGATGAAGAGCTGTATTGATGATGGGGGATTCGAGCGGCGCAAGTTTGACTGGCTGCGGAGGGCGCAAACTAGGATTGCTGGTGCTGTCCCAGATTTTTGCCTTGCTGTTTTTCGTCTTTCTAGCGGTGCCACACCTCTACATTCAGTTTGATGGCGTCGGTCCTTTCGGGGCGCCTGCTGTTGTTGATGTAGATGCGCTTCGGATGAGAGGCATTCTTCTCCCTTTACCGAATGATCTGGCTAAAGAGTTGTTGATTCGAAATGCTCTGCCCCCACGGAACATCGACTTGTTCCCCTCGCTCCGGGACGATCGCATCGTAATCGTTTTGTATGTACATTACCGGCCCCATTATCTGAAGCTTGTGATTTCTGGGCTGTCTAAGGTTCACGGAATCAACGAGACGCTATTGATTATCAGCCATGACGGATTTTATGAGGACATGAATTCCATTGTGGAGTCGATACGCTTCTGCCAGGTCTGTTCCATCATTTTCCTTTCTCTTTAATACCTTTCATTGCTGCTGACTAAAGAACTTTAATAGATTGCTGAACGCTCCGACTTTCGCAGCATTGGTAGGTTTGACAGGGCATTGCTTCACAAGAAAACCTTTCAGTCGGACTGTCTAGATTGTGATTCTGGCATGAAACCCTCTAGAGGAGGATCACTATGGGTATATGATGTTTTGATTTACAAATCACCAGGTTAAACAAATATTTGCCCCATGGTCTCCTCATTTGTTCCCGGACGAGTTTCCAGGAGAATCGCCACAAGATTGCAAGAACGACGACAATGCAGAGAAGCTGGGCTGCACAGGAAACCCCGACCAGTATGGAAACCATCGGAGTGTTCGAATTGTGTCATTGAAGCACCACTGGTGGTGGATGATGAACACCATATGGGATGGATTGACGGAAATGAAGGGGTTCAATGGACACATCATGTTCATAGAGGAGGATCACTATGTGTTGCCAAACGCATACCGCAACATACAAATTCTGGTTAATCTGAAGGAGAAGAAGTGCCCTTATTGTATTGCGGTTAATGCTGCGCCGCTGGATGTGACGTCGCGGGGAGAGGGCTCTCGCAAACTCTACGCTGAGAAAGTGGGCAATGTAGGCTACACTTTCAACCGCACAGTGTGGGAACGAATCCACGCCCAAGCAAAACAATTTTGTTTATTTGACGATTACAACTGGGACATTACGATGTGGTCCAGGGTGTATCCGACTTTCGGCAGCGCTTTGTATACACTGCGTGGACCTCGCTCCAGTGCAATTCACTTCGGCAGATGTGGACTTCACGAGGGGTACAACCAGTCCGGGCCCTCTGGATGCAGGGATTCAAACATAGAGTTTGGATTCGTAGAGCGTGCCGATATGGTGCCCAATATAAACCACAGATGGCGTGTGCACAAGTATAGCATCAAAGGATACTCGTCTGGCTTCGAAGGGTGGGGTGGATGGGGTGATAAGAGGGACCGGCACCTTTGCCTCTGCTTTTCTTCCATGTACGAGAAGCCACTATCGCTATAGCCGCTGACCATGAGAGACATGTGAACTCCGAAACAGTTCATAACAGTCGACACTGCACACATGGAATCCGCATCCCCATCTTGGTCTGAGTATGTGCGTTGTTACGTAGCGTGTGGTTGCGCTGACCATTCGCTGACCATCGCAGAGGTTTGAAGAAGCCGAGGGGAAGTGCGCAAAAAGTGTGATGCCCCGTTTGCAGGTCTGCCCTGGTTGTGGAGTATGAAGGCCTGGAGTGTGGCGATCCAGGGGTACCTGGACATGGCATCCCAATTTCTAACTCACGGCATCATTGATAGAAGGTTGACACTGCCTGATAGAAGGTTCTGATAGCAGACAATGTGACTTGGGCTTCGTTTTTGGCAGAAACTGTGGATGTGATGTAGAGGATTGGTTTTGTGAAAACCAACAATTACATAAACTAGACATGGTTCCTGGGTGCACAATGTTGTCATTTTTATGGATTATGGCATTATTACAGTACCTGTGGAATGACCTGAGCAACACAGTTTTCTAGATAGTTTTTAAATGAGGTGGTGGCCAGTCTGAATTGGTTGCACAGCCATTTTTTAGTCATCCGAAAGAGGAGGGGCACACTAGAATAGACGTGTAGTCCTTGGAGGCGTCTAAGAATTCCATCATGTCAACCTACTCTTTTCAGTTTTTGTAGGTTTTGTTCAAAGAATTTTACAGATCTTGCATTTTTCTGTGTAAGTTATTAGCTTGATAAAACTGGTCTTGAGCTCGTGCTATTCTACTCATGTTACTATATGACTTGTAATTGTGAAATTTTGTATCTTTAGGAGTAAAATGCTGCTACTTAAACTTATTGTAATGTTGATGTATTGTATACTTGATGAAGTGATTTGTGTCCAGGGCAATAGATTAATCTCTTGACCTAAGACGTTCACATACATTATCAACAAAGAATTGTGTGATAGATTTTAAGTTGCATGCAAGATTGCAAATCATACATTGCTGTGTTAATGGGTTTTCTAGTTTTCAAGTCTATATCTACACATTAATTTAGGTTTAATATATATATATATATATATATATATACAATCATTTTGTTAAAAAAGTATTTTATTTTAGTTTTAATTATTTTATTGTACCAATTTTTGATACTGTCTAAATTTATGTTCTATTACATATCAAAATATTCTATGAACATTTATACAACACATGTAATTCAAATAACTTCAATGAATATTTTTTATTTAAAAAATGTACAAAATAAATCCATATTGTATATGTATATATATATATATATATAGATATATTTTTTAAACTTTAATTATTAAATTAAAAATTCTATTGTTTGGTATATTAACTAAAAAAATCCAAAAACTTGTATAAAATAGATATAACATTGTATTACAAAATAATAAGAATATTTTCTTCTATATTAACATTGATTATATATATATATATATATATATATATATATATAAATCAATCAATTAAGAATTTAAAATAATACTCTAAATAGTTTTTTTTGTAAAATAAAATAGACTAATTCAAATCAAATGTATTCTTTATTATTAGTGTGTCATGTACATACATATTTATTTTGGTAATTATTTAGATAATATGAGTAGATAGAAATAAATAAAAGTAAGTAAATTTGATGATATCTTATAGAAAAGTTTCTTAAAAGCTTTACAGAGGTGGACTTGTCTTTATACATATTATAGGTAATTGATAGGTTGAAAACATGGCCAACAAGTTGGTCACATGTTGAACATGTTGGCTACTTATGATATAAGTTGGATATATGGTATATACATAAGAAACTTATCTTGTAAATTAGACATGTGTTATGTAAGTTGGACATATATTAGAGATCCTATAGAATGTTGTCACATAGCTTATACTTAGATATTATATGTAGGAATGAGGACTCTTTCACTCTTCTCAAATTCTTTCTTGCTTTTAGTCTAATTTCAAGAAGTTGTAGTTTCTTAATCTTTAGCAATAGCCATTCCCATTTCTTCTTAAATATACATATTTACTTATTTCTTCTTGTCTCATCTCTCTTCGAAGAATATCTCACTTGGATATTTATATTCTTCAAATTCTAATTTCTGACAAATTGATAAGAATACACTTGCAATATTTGAGCTTTAGCTTTCTTGATTAAAAAGAGATAATCACTTTTTCTTAATAAGCCATAAGTATATTAAAAGTTATAGATTACCTACTTCTATACTAATATTGTTATTAGAATTTCTTTTGTTCTTAAGTCATCTCTCATATATTTTTTAAGTGATATTTTGATATATTTTTTTTTATTGTGTTATCATGGCAATGCTTGTTAAAATGAAGAATGCAATGACAGAAATGCTTTCAATATATTAATTCAATTTACCACCACAAAGAACAATAAAATTGGCAAGAAGTGAAGATATAGAAATGATTGAAGTTGCTTCAACATCTACACCAAATCATATAATTTTTCCTATTGTAGAACATTGTTCAAATATTAAAGAACTAATAGTTGTCTTGCTTGAGAAGTTTGATGGCAAATGATCAAAGTTTGATAGTACAAGATCAAAGTTTTAAATATTTATCAATCAAGTATAACTAATGATTAGATTTCAACCTTTATGTTATCCAACTCTAAGATCACATGTTAAGTTTATTAGAACAATACTTTTCGAATCTGCATTGTTCTAGTTTTTATCTTATTTTGATTGATATGATTCAATATTAAATAATGTAGAGGTTTTTTTGGATTTTTTTGATCCATGTATGAAAAATGTGATGCAATTTGTATTGAAATCAACAAGATTTGTATTTTGCAATGTGAAATCCATCAATAGAACTTAATTGGTGGAACTTAAAATATAAGTTTTAATTATTTAAAAATAAAATATTAGGATTTGAAATTCTTTTTGATAATTTTAATATTTATTAAAATTAAAAAATATTTATAGATTAAAAAATTATTATTATAAAAAAATTATAAAAATGAAGTCTTAGTAAAAAACAATTCAAGTCTTTTTTTTCTTTATAATAATAATAATTATTATTATTAATTAAATATAATCTATTATTAATTATTTTCAAATAATATAATTTAAAAGCTATTACTTAATAAAAGTTATAAAAATAAAATATTAATAAAATATATTAGATGTGAGCCTTGATAAGGCTGAAATTTTTAATGTATAAACAAGTTATTCTTAAAGTAAAATGTTTTTACTTATTTATTTGGTATCTTTAAATCTTTATAAATTATTGATAGTAATTCGAATTTACATGTTTCTTATATCATTAAAAAGATAATAAAATTATCTTTTTAAATTTTTATTTATATTTATATTTTATATTTTTTATTAGATAAAAATTTAGTAAAAAAAATATGACCAAGTTTTGAGTTGTATAATTACTTGCATTCATTTACTTCCCTTATTTTGTGTTTATTCTTCTTTTTTTCTTGTTATTTGTTCTTTTTTTACTTCAAACCATCAATTACAAGCAACTCTTAATTGAAACCATCTTATAATTTGGATTGAAAGATGGAATTTATTTTCAAATGCAACAATACAATCAATTATTGATGTTATATGCTTCACAATTTTTACAACTTATAATTAATATTAAGTAAGATGATGCTATACGCATTAGCCAATTTCTTTACAAATTACAATATAAGGTAAAGAAATTAATATTGAACTTACTTAACCCTCAAACATTGAGACATGCAATTGACTTTGTTATAAAGTTTGATAGGTGGTTTTTTGAATTTTGATTTAAGAGTTAGAAAAGTAGGCCTTAATATTTTTAGAATTCAATGGCAACTCCAATATCTTCTCAACACATACATTTGGAAGTAGAAGACATACAAATTGATGTAGTATGTTTTAAACTTCTCACTAAGTAAAAAAAGACTTATTATTGCTTAGAAGGATTGAGCTTATATTATAGAGAACCTAAGTATATTATTCAACATTATTTAAAGAAGCAATGCAACTACAAAATGATGAATATCATTATCAAAGAAGATAATGAGTTTTTTGATAATGATATTCTTTAATAAACTCTTTTGATATTTCAAAAAATAAATTTATCTAACTACAAAAAGAATTATGAGGCTAAAATCTTATATAAAATCTAAGAAAGGTCTTATTTTCTTTTTAAAACACTCTCTTTGTTTTATAATAAATATTTTTTGAAGATTTAAAAATTAAAAATCCTTTGTCTTGTTAAATTTAGAATTCTCAACTTGTTTCTTAAATTAAGAATTTATTAAAAAACATAAAATATATTTAATAAAAAAAATTAAATTTATACATGTAAAATTCATAGATGGTTATCTATTGTCTTTTAGAGATGTTATCTATGAAATATTTTCTATAGATGTATCAACAAATGGTCATAATAGTTTTGTGATATTCAATATAATTAAATATCCTTCTAATTTAGTTTTTTTAGGTTTATTGTGGCTAAAAAAATATAATCCTCTAATAAATTAGATTTCTTATAGTCTTGAATTTTTTAAAGTATAACTAAGAATTTTATTAATCAAGTAAAAAGTCATAAGTCTAATGCAATCAAACTCTTATAAATTGGTAGAAGAGCTTTCATGTACCTTACAAAAAAATAATCACCTTTTGTAATTTATACCACACTTATTTCTAATAGTGAAAAAACTTCAAATGATATTCCAAGCTAGTATCAAAATTATCAAGATATATTTAAAAAAAAAAAAATGAAAATATTTTTTTGAAACATTATTCTTGTGATTAGTCAATAATCATTCAAAAGAGATTTTAATTGTCATTTGGACCAATCTATAATTTATTATAAAATAAATTTGTTGAATTCAAGGATTATAATGACTAGAATCTAATAAAAAAAATTCATATGCTATTCAAAATTTCCAACAAGAGCTCATATCTTATTTGTGAATAAAAAAATGAATCAATAAAGATGTCTATAGATTATCAAGGATTCATCAAGATTGCTATCAAGAATAAGTATCTTTTATTTTTAATATCTAAACTTCTTTATCAATTGAATTAAGCTAAGATTTATAAAAAAATAAATCTACAAAGAACATATAATTTAATATACATCAAAGAAGGAGATGAATAAAATATTGTGTTTTGTATTAAGTATATACATTTTGAATACAATGTTATGCCTTTTAATCTCACAAATATGAGAGTTTTTTAAATATCTAATAAATGATGTATTCTAATAATTTTTAAATAATTTTTTTATTTATTATCTAAATAAAATTTTAATCTACTCAAAGAATACAAAAGAGCATGAATTTCATATTTGATAGATGTTACAAAAATTTAGAGATGCAAGTTTATATACTAAGATAGAAAATTATATATTTTATACTATTCATATTAAATTCTTAAAATACATCATTTCAAATAATGGCCTTATTATGGATCCTAAAAAAATTTAGATTATTATAGATGGAAAGATTCTAAGAACAATAAAATATGTCTAATATTTTTTGAAATTTTTTAATTACTTTTGGATCTTTATCAAAAAAAAAATTTAATTTGTAACTTTACTTACATATTTGACTAATAAAGAGAAACTTGAGTAGAATAAAAAAAACTGAAAGAGCATTTGAAGCTTTTAAAAGAGCTTTTATTTTTGCACTAATTTTATATCACATTAACTTTTCTAAAGTATTTTTAATAAAAAAAAAATTAATTAGACTTTGTTTTGAATATGGTATTATCAAAAATAGAAATTTTAAATATATATATATATATATATATATATA